AAACCATGTTTTAATACATGAGTCTTGATTGCATTAATCATCCAATTACGTAGTCATTTAGATTCTACAATTGTTGTGTCATGGGAAAATTACATTTCTGATTCTGATATCGCAGATGGTCATCTTTACATTTGTACTCTGCATTATTCCTGCTAAACTGTTTCTTCTGTTGCTATGAAATTTTGTATTACCATTGTTTCATTGGTGTTAGTCATGCTGGAAAATTTGAAAGATTAAGCAGCTTTTGTTGTTTGATTTTCATTTGATACAAGATTGATGCTCTGTACCTAATATGTGAAATTTTTTAGGATCCAACAAAAGCCATTGTTGAAAGTGTTCCTAGCGTCCATCTACATGGTTCTGGAGCAAAAATAAAGAGATCATCATCAACCCAACATAGGCCATCCTGGATCCATGATGGACAAACACATGGTGTAATATCATATACATCATCAGATTCGCGTCCAGTTGATTCGTCATTATTGACATCTCATGGAAATGAGAAATACTCAAGCCATGGAAAAGAAGCAAAAGAAACAGAAGCTTTTAATGATTTACACCCAATGCAATCTGTGTATTTGGGTTCTGATCGAAGGTACAATAGATACTGGCTTTTCTTGGGCCCTTGTAATGCATATGATTCTGGTCACAAGAGCGTTTATTTTGAATCTTCTGAAGATGGTCACTGGGAAGTGATTGATACTGAAGAGGTAACTCTCTCAGCCTCTGTTCTAAAACTTGGACCTTTGCTGAAGTATTCATCATTTTTCCTTAGGTTATGTGTAAAGAATCAAAGGAAATAGTGAATGACAATCTAACATGGTTTTTTTTCTGTACAACATGGCCAGTTTATAACTATTATTATCTGCTTGTGTTGGCTTTGTCCAAATGCAGGCTTTGCGTGCTTTGTTGTCTGTTTTAGATGACAGGGGTAGACGGGAGGCTCTGCTTATTGAATCTTTGGAGAAGCGTGAAGCTTTTCTCTGCCAAGCAATGTCAAGTAGACTGGTAAACAACCCTGAAATCAGGCAATTGGCACAATCTGATCGGTCTGAGCTGGATATAGTTAGAGAAGACAGTTCTTCTCCAGTGTCTGATGTAGATAACAACCTAAACCTGATTGAGATCACAACAGATTCTGTGCCTCCATCTGGTGCTATAGTTCTTGAAGTGGGAAAGAAGGGAGAAGAACATACTCAAAAGTGGAGTCGTCTCCAAGCATTTGATATGTGGATATGGAATTCTTTTTACTTGAATCTTAATGCTGTAAAACATGGTAAAAGGTCTTATCTTGATGCACTTACTAGATGTGAAAGTTGTCATGATTTATATTGGAGAGATGAGAAGCACTGTAGGATATGCCATACCACATTTGAGCTTGATTTCGATCTAGAAGAAAGATATGCCATCCATGCTGCCACGTGTAGGGGGAGAGCAGACAATGACATAGTTCCAAAGTATAAAATCCTTTCTTCACAGCTGCAGTCACTGAAAGCTGCCATTCATGCAATTGAGGTGCGTCTGTCATTTGCTTTTGACTTTTTACTGCTTTGATGCTTTATCTATGTATATGTTCATGTGTGAGTGAGAGATATAATGATGCCTTGTCTTTTATTTGTCTGAGATTCTGAATGGAACACTAAGAGCTATTTCTTAGGAGTGGTTAAGTTTCAAATGCTCTGACCCACATTATGGCAGTGGATTCTCTGAATTAGAAAATTATTTTATGCTCAGCAGATCACCATGCTTTTTACAAACTTTGGATCCTATGGGGAACTGACTTTTATGGGAGTACAGAGCACATATTTTAGGAGCACTAAATAATTAGACCTTTAAGGAAGATCTGTATCTACTTAGGCACAAGCATGAAAATGTGTTGATTCTAGAACAGTCAACAGATTAGCTATATTACCTGTAATACAGTTTAAAATATGATCTTTGGGATTTTTTGAAACCCATTTTTAGACCCTTCCAGAAATCAGCCCTTTTGAAGAATTACACTGTCTTGAACAAGACGTTTTTCTTCATAACTATGTTGGCCCATGGAGTTGATGTTGTTATATGACACGTATCTAGCTCATTGAGTGATTTTGGTGCTGGGAGCCCAAAATAAGTTGAAATATAATTTTGATGTAGCTGACCTCAAGTTTAAGCTTAATTGCATTTGGCCCTTGAGTCCTGATTCATCTTATGATTGATATTTTCTTATATGGTTATGCATCCATTATATGCCATAATTTTTTTGTTCACCAATTCTTAGCTTTCTGTTATATATGTCTTATCTTCAAAAAGAAGGGGGAGAAAAAGAGAGGAAGAGCTATATCCTTATTTCTTTTTCCTACTCAATGTGCAGTCAGTTATGCCTGAAGATGCTTTGGTGGGTGCTTGGACAAAATGTGCTCATAGGTTATGGGTCAAACGGCTGAGACGCACCTCATCTTTGGCTGAGCTTTTGCAGGTTTGGTTTATGTATTCTTTCATATTGTGTAAATAGTTTGCAAATATTTCCAACAGTAACTTGTTTGTCTGATGCCCATTACGGAATGTGTTCCAATTCTCTGAACTGCATTCTTGAACACTTGTGAAGGTTGTTGCTGATTTTGTTGGTGCAATCAATGAGGAGTGGCTTTGTCAATGGAATGTGGCACAAGGTGGTAATGCTGTTATGGAAGAAATCATTGTTTGCTTTCCGACCATGCCCCAAACGTCATCTGCACTGGCATTATGGTTGGTAAAATTGGATGCCTTAATAGCTCCATACTTGGAAAAGGTTCATTCTGAAAAGCAGCTGACAACCAGATGTAGAGGTATGTTAAAGTTCTCAGTTTCACTCATGTTTTTCAAGAAATTAGGGCCTTGGAATTATTTGTCTAGGTTTTTAAAAACTGTGAATTCCTTCCTAGGTTTTTGGACAGCTGTTTTTCTTTGATACACATTTCATCTGTAATGATAGATCAAAACCCTTGAATCTTTGTTTATACAGTATTATCTACTCTTTACAGATATAAAAAATGAGGACAGTAAAATTTTCTTCTTAGTTCAGGGTGGCATGAAATTCTGTTCTTCGTTTACCTTTAGTTCGAAAAGGGATAAAAACAAATTTACACCATCACCTCACATCTTTAATATCATAGCCTCAATTAGTTTTGGATCCAACATCTGAATCAGGATCTTAATTTTGATCTGATTAAATTGTTGGGATCTAAAAACTAGTTAGGCCATTCTATCAATAGTGTATTTGATTTTATTATAAATGATGGTCCACCACTGATAGATTTAGAGTTGCACATTTCTTTTGTTGGTCGTAAGTTGAGCAACCTTAATGTAATTGATCCACCAAGATGGACGAGGTGTTGTCCTTAATTTAGATTTTGATTGTCTTCCAAAAACAATGTTGTGGTTATTATCTCCCTCAAGAGTTGAATAAATTTTGAAAAATGAGATGAAGGAAATAAGGAAGATTTTATAACTGTGGTAATTTGATGTACTCTTTTTTTTTTTTCACCTGTGCCAATTAATGCGCGTTTTTTTATAGCAGTTGCCAAATATGGTGAATGATTGTTCTGATGGAAGATTTCATATTGACCTTGTTCTACATTCATGTTACACTAAGGAAATATTTAGGAATATAAGAATGCAGAAGTATCATTTCAACTTTTAAAATGTGCAGTCTCTTCAATTGTTGCATGCAAAAGATTGAGATTGCAGAATTTTGCAGTTTGGTCCCCATGGTGGCTAAAGACATGCAGATTTCTGTTTTACTTTTTAAGTTTTAGTAGTGATTTGCCTATCCAATGATGTATAGTTTTAACTGTATATCTGAAATTTTCTGTTGTGTTTCAGGTAAATGTGCCGTTGATCAGTAGAACGTTGTTCAATCTAATGCTTGCTTAGGGTTGTTCTTACATATCTGCACATGGAAGCACTTACAGGAGTGTAATCGTCAATTCATTATTGTTGCCATTCTGTTCTAATATCGGAATCAGTGAAGCACTTCCTAGCTTTGCTGGATTTTGATTGAAAATGATCATCATGCCACTTTCAGAGATGAAATGAAGCAGGATGAAAGCAATACACAAAAGTTTTGTACAGAGCAGAGTTTTTGAGTCTTCCAAAACTTTTTACTGTTGCTGTACTGGGGCAAATTAAGGAATTTTATTTTGTACAGCAGTACATTGATAAGAATATTGAGGAAAGTTGAGTTTTTAGTACATAACTCTTCATCTTGGTTGGAAAAATAACCTAAATTCCTTGTCTTGTAGAAAAGAATGTTATTGGGTTCTTGCTTCTTGGTGTTTGAGCAATCAAATTTTGCCAGTGTATACTTGTCAACAAGGAAATAAATTCTATCAATATACTCTGTCAACAAGCAATGAAAGGTAATATTGTAACATTTTTTGGGCATAATGTTTCTTTTTAGGACAAGAAAGCATGATATTTTTTCTAGTATGAAGAGGATATTTATTAATAATGTGGAACTGAATTTTGAGTAATTAAATTTACTCTTTTTGTGAAATGTGAAGTCACTAACTAAAAAAATGAGGCCTTGAGGAGAAACATTGGTGTGCCGAGTGCATTTTCCAAACTCCAGATAATCTGAACCGGGGTGTACAGCTACAACTGGATTGAGATTGACTGTTCCATACACATTCATGTTGCATTTATTGGCCTAGCTGCAGAAGCAAGAGCATAATGACTTTCTAAACTACCCTGCAATGGAATTTCAAATTGAAAAGTGCAATCCTTTCAAAATCTGAGTTCCCACTCACGGTTAGAAATTTGGGTCTCCCCAACTCTACCTGCGAAGCAAAAATTACAAACATATCTCAATTTAAACCTAGTGTAATACTCAGCACTCTCTCCTTCAAGTTCAAGTCCTAGGATGAGAAGCAATCTTTAGTGGTTACTGTGGCTGGGGAAGCATTATTATCTGGCTTCTCACAGTGTCCATCATTGTCTTCACGCATCGCTTGGAATAATTTTGCATGAAAACAGGGAAATTTTATAATTTTATCTTGGATTAAAACTTCTCATTTATCAAATAAGTTCGTTACATGACCACAGAATAAGGAAACTGACACACGACGGAACAGTCCACTAGTAATCCAACAAGAACATATTACATGAAATTATTATATCACAATGATCACAGCCGCCATAGCTGATGAAGCTCTGAGCCACCTTACATTAGAAGCAATAACTTTTAAGTTATTAAGCAGGTGATCACTTAAGACCCTTGACGGCCTCAAAAACAGCTGAAAAGTCAAGGTCTCCCAATCCCAAGCTTCTGGCCGTTTTGTAAGTCTACAGAGAGGATATTTATATCAGATTCACAGCTCCAAGTTCTTAATGCATACACAAGCATGTTCATTAATTATAAGTCCAATTAGCATATGCTTCATATAAGTTGTCCCCTGCTCTGGCCAAGATCTTTGTCCCAATTGCAAACTAAATGAAGTTGAAAAGAAGAACTAACCTCGTTAGCAGCTGCTGCTACTGGCATCGATACAGCATTTTCATCCCCAAGAGCGAGAGCAAGTCTTATGTCCTTCTGCTGATGTTTAAGAGGAAAGGCAGGGGAGTGATTGCCCTGAAGCATACCCGGCCCTTTCCCCCTGAACATAGGATTGGCAATACCACCAAGATCCTGCAAAAAAGTAACTAACCTCAATTAGCTCAGTACCGACAAAAATGGCACAAAGTGCTGAGCAACTCTCTCACCAGTACTTCAAGTAAAGTGCGAGGGTCTAGTCCACTCTTTTCTGACAGTACGAGCCCTTCAGAAAATGCATTCATCATACTGCAATAAACAAATAACCAAACAAATAAAAACTACAATTCAAGTCTATAAACACTTCAAAATGAAGGTACTCAAAGATATAAACCAACTACTAATAAACAAGTATTTTGAAATTTGTTAGCAGGTTGTGGTCTCAATGAACATTTCTGTTTTGTAAATCTTATCTCACTTGCTGAAGCTAAATGCTGTACATCATTCAAATTTTATAACACAACATGAAGTTTCTTGCCAAATTGAAAAGTTACTAGCAATCTGCAAGGAGCTGGAAAAAATTCTGTTGTAAAGAGTAGTTCTCCACTTCATGGAAACTGGATATTATCATTCTGCTAACTTTGCAGCGAAGCCAATAGAAACTTGCTTGTTTCAATAGAAAAATTATCCAGGAATGCGGATTATTATTCCATAGCCACAGTCAAGTAATCAAATGCTTAGCTTGTTAAATGATTTTTCAGGTTGAAATAAATAAAACTAAAAATACGAGCATAATAATATGTTACCATCTAATATATTACTTCACCAAAAACTTTGCGCTGGTTCATTGGAGATTGAAAATTACATTTGTTCAAAAATCAATTACCAGCCCATTATCATGTTGACAACAAGTTTCATTTTCGCTCCATTTCCAATCTCCCCCAAGAAGAAAGACTTCTTTCCTATTACATTCAGAGCTGGAATTGCTTCATCATACAGTTCCTACATTAGAAATATAGATATGATACAATTAGCGTAAGTGGATAGATAGAAACATTTGCAGCCTTCTAACGGTAAAAGAAAGATTTAGTATCTATTTCCCAGCTTCATCTTGGCTAAAATTCAAGAGTTACATGGAAGCATATGGCAGTGTGTTTACAAAAGTGAATTCTCCGACCCTTTAAACCCACTCTTTTTATTCCTTATTTTCATTGAATAGGAAAAGTGGATCACTAGTCTGCTACAAGTAAGCCTAAACGGTTACCAAACTGAGCTTCATTGGGGCATAGTTTAAAAGAAAATTTTTGGAAAATGCATGGTATCTAAAATCATGTATGCACAAGCCCGCTGAAAACAATAATGGATTGCATATCTGCAAAGCCCTTGCAAAATGGTGCATTACCTTCTCCCCAGCTGAAAGGATTACTAGTTGACCAGTTTCTGCAGGCTGTTTGCTACCTGAAACTGGAGCCTCAAGGAAGTGACCACCCTTTGCTGAAATTGCCTGTAGATACCCAGCAGATGTTTAATACATTCTCCTTTTTTTCCATCCTCGCCAAATTTAATCATTTGATGGCTAAACTACCACCACATATAATCATGTTGAACAAAAACAAAAATGAAATTACCATTGACTGTGACCCCCAAGGAATCTGTATCTACACATGTCCTAGCATTACCAGCTAGCCAAAAAAGAATAACATAACATTGACTCCACATATTAAAGACTGAAAAATTCATTCTGCCTAGTTAAATGCTCCCAATTCATATCTCAACCTTCCAGACATCAAAACAATGTTATATGCAGTTTCAAAAATAATCTAAAACAAGAGGCTACTATTCTTCAGAGAATATCTGAAACTTGAAGACTTATATAGATAACAATTCTTTGACTCACTTCTAAAAGTTGGAAACCACAGTATCTAAAAAGGTTCCCGCTTAATGTTTTTCTGTCAAATTTCACTTCTTCAAGATAATCTTAGTCCAGTAAATGAATCCTATTATCCCGCCCACTTGTGTGAGAGTTACCCTAACTGTAAGCAGAGCATACTGTTACAAAATCAATATTAAAACATACTCAATAATCAAGTGCAAAAAGCAATACTCTTCTAATCCAAATGAATTCAGAGAACCGTAAACCTGGCTGATCTTTGTTGAAGTTTCAGGATCAACTGTTGACATGTCAATGTAACCTTTCCCGGGGCAAATTTGCTCCAAAATACCCCCTTTGTCGAAAACAACCTACTCAAAATCACCATAAATACATCATCCCAGTTAAAACAAAAATCATATAAAACCTAGTTCATAAAACTGAACATTGAACACCACAAAAACACAAAGTTACTAACCGAGAGTGCAGCAGGAGGATCAGCCAACATCCCAATAGTAATCTTGCACTTCTTAACTACTTCAGCCGGACTTTCTCCAATCGTCGCCCCATGTGCCACAAGTTCATTACACTACACAAAGCACCCAAACTCAATAAAAATAAAAGCAAAAAATCCCTTTTACTTCACCGTAGGCGAGAAATCCATAATCCCAATTTCCAATATCGCTAAAATAAGCAAACAAACTCCTTAACAAGATCTAAACAAAGTTACAAACACAAGTTTCTCAAAATGAAATACCTTGGACAAAGTCCTGTTCCATACAGTAACTTTGAACCCATGTTGAAGCAGATTCATAGAAATGGCTTTTCCCATTATTCCCAAACCAAGAAACCCCACCTCCATTTTGCTCAATTCTTGTTACTACCCTTCTCTGCCTTCAATGATCCTCACTTTCAAACCTAGTTCTTATCTTACTCCAAATTAATAGTATCAAAAGAAACAATCTTTAAATAATATTTGATATTCTCAATATCATTTTTTTTTTTTATTTTTTTATGTGGAAGTAATCCCAATATCATTTTCATTTATATTAAACTACAAGAAATGGGAGTCACCATGATGTGTACTGCATTACCATTGAAAGATCAGAAAATATACTTTATCTGAATGTGGGGTCAGCATTTGTGATTGTTAATGGACGGCTAGATGCGTGCCACGTACGTTTGAGACCGTTAGTTTACTGTTTGTCCGTCCTCCATTTTCTTTGGACTTTGGAGTCTGCAGAGGTCTGTTAGTCTGAGCTGGATTTTAGAATAGTTGATGTTTGTAGCCAATGGCCGTTGTCCACGTTTGGAGATGTTCCTGGATTATTGTCCACGTTTGGCACGTGCTAAATACAGTTATTTGAAGCTGACATAGGCTAACAACAATGGGTTTGAACATGGGCCATGCCATTTTCATCAAAACGGTCAAGTACTTGGTTTTATTAATTATTTAAGTCCCATCAAATCTATAAATCTAATTTAAATAAAATATTATTAAATAAATTAATATGAATAATATATTAACTTGAAAACATGTTATAATTTACTGTATAATTCCCCTTTTTTTATATTTCCTTCAAAAACTACCCATGACTCGTTGCCAAAAATTCCATGCTAGGTTTAGCTTTGCATGATGAAATAAATCACCAATTATCAGATCTTTTCCTTAATTACATAAGTTTCACCACCATTTTTGGGTTGATTTCATTAGCTATAAAAAGATAATTAAGTCTTAAGTGCCTTAACAATTTTCTGAAGTATTATATATCTTCTTAAAATTATCAAAAACCCGCTAAAAAAAAAATACTAACGTTCCCTATACAAATATATATAACACCTGAATGAAGATGTTTTTATATTTTCGAAAATAGCTATGGCATTTGAGACTTGGCTATTTCTCATGGAAGCCAATGAAATAAACTCATATTTAAATATAATTCATCTTTTACAATATCGAGAGACTACCTTGTTGAGAGAATACTAAATTTGTCTCAAATAATTATTTATTTTCTTGCTTTGTCTCCATAATTCTTTTTTATTTTGTCTAACATATTATAATCATTATATTATATCTACATTAATATAAGAGTCGCTCTAAAAGTTTCAATTTAATTTTCAAATCAATATATATTTATTTTATATGGAATCCTATAATAGGGGAGAGAACTTTTGTGACAGGAATTTAGAAATTTTGAGTCAGAAGATAGAGAAGACAGAACGGGCAAATCTATCAAGTATAAAGCAATCCTAAACGTATTATATATGAAAATGATATTTTTGGAACAAGCAATTATCTATTTCTAAATTATTATTATTATTTTTTTAATAAATTTTATTTAAAATAGGGTTTACAGAAAGATTTGGTGGGCGCATAAATAGCACCACTCAAAGGGTTAGTTATTGTTGATGCATATTTTTATTAAAGAAGCCTAATAAAAGTTCAATCAAATGGGAATATGAAGTGCTGCTTTGGATTTGGACTTAGGCGCCATCTCTGCGAAGACAGTCAAGCGATTAGTATGAGGAAATAGTTAACGAACTAATCACAAGTATAGGTGAAGACTCGCTTGAAACTCGAGGTGGTTTGAATAGCTAGAGGTTCAAGGCTTGCTGTGTCGCTAAAGAGCCTGTACTTCCTCAATTTCTCAGTGGTAATGAGCTTTTTAGTGTTGCAAGACTCCTCAAGAAGTCTGTTGAACTCCTCTACCTGAGTTCGATCTTGTAGCAATAATGAGCTCGTTGTGCGATTAACTATACAAAAAAGAGAAGCTTCAAAAAGCGAAGTTGGAAAACAATAAGGATTAAAAACAATAAGAGACATACTCGTTGTTCTAAAGGAACCTAGGTTGTCGTAATCAAAGAAAAAATACTTGGACTCCTAATCCCGATGTTGCTCAAAGTGCCAACTATCGCTTTGGAGTCTTTTGCAGTACGCTTGGAGAGATAGTATCTAAGCTCGTCTTTGCTCGATTTCAAGGAATATACGTACACGAACTTGAGCCGGGTTAGTTCACCCACACTGCTCTCTTGGATAGCAATGTACATCCCTATTATGCACTTGTATGAGTTTAGGCTTAGCTGGAACGAAGCTATCGCGGAGTGGTCGAGCACTTCTAGAGGTGGAACAAATGGGCCAGGTTAGGCGGGTCAACCCTAACCCGGCCCGCAATGAAGAGGGTTCAACTCGGACCACCAATATGGCGGTCCGGGTTGAACCCAACCCACCAACAACCCCCGCACGGGTCGGGTTGCTATATGGCAACCCACCAACCCAACAGGTTGCTATTTGTTTGCAATAGCCAACCTGCCGGGTTGGCAAAAAAAAATTAAAAAAAATAAAAAATTAATTATTTTTTTCAAGTTTCCCCCATTTTTTTAATTCTTTTAATTAAACTATTATGATTGAATTCTTACAAATAATTTTACACAATAATATTAAACTATACTTCTAAATCATAAATATTAAAATGTATAAAACTTCGTAATATTTGACATATTGTTATTATTATTTTTTATGGTACGTAAAATATAAAAAAATTAAATACTGAAGTCTTATTCTCAAATTTTCATGTCTTGTATAAAATATAATTCATTCTTATGCCAAAGTTTCATCAATTGAATGAATAAATCTAATTTTTTTTTTATATTACAATTTTATTGTATTAATATTTGAAATGTTAATAAAAAAAATTAATTTAATTGAATTATTGATATTTGAAAAGTTAATTAAAAACAATTACATTTATTCATTTATAAATCATTAATTATTTATTTGAAAAGTTAACTAAATAAAACAAAAAAAAAAAAATCAAAAAAGGGCTTAACCCGGCTCGACCGGCACCTAACCCGGCGGTTAGGGTTGGCGGGCCGGGCTGGGCCGCCATTCCCCCAAAAATGGGGGCCTAACCCCTGCCTTGTTTGGGCGGGTTACCAACCGCCAAAAGCATAACCGTCGCGCCGGTCGGGTCGGGCCGGGTGGGTTACTTTTCCACCTCTAAGCACTTCACGTACAAATAGGTGGAATGGAACGGTCCTTCCACACGAGGATCGCTTCTAAAGGTGTAATATGCCCAGGCGAGGTTGTTGAGCCAATATCCCGGCCCTAAGAGGGATGGAGATCACTACTGATTCCTGATACAATAGGGATGAAAGAACCTCACTTAGGAGGATTGCAATGATCGACTTTGAGCTCTCTTCGTTCTCTGGTCCATCCCCCCATTACAGAGGGCTATCTGGTCGTAACACTAATAATCCGCAAGGAGACTCGTAGTTAAGAAAAGTTGCTTGAAGAGCTCAACGGAGAATGAGATACGTCCTCTACATATCCACGAACCTATGGAGGAATGGCTACTTTCAGACATCTAAAAGCACGAAGACAAGTATAGTTATAAGCCCTGGGTACACTCATCAATTGCATGTATAAAGTGTCCTAGTCCTGGCCCTCACCCATACTTGCCTTCAACTTTAGATGAGAAATCTTTCCCTATCGGTCACCTAACGACTAGTTTGTTTTGATCTAAACATGGGTCTAACTTAAAGTCTACATAGCGGTTCGTACAGCTACTGGCCCAAAAAAAAAAAAAAAAAACGAGCAAGAGAAAGAAAGAAGACTACCTTTGCAGAAAATCACAGAAAAAAATTATCAAAAAGCCATGAAAGCCTTGCTTGGAAAGACAAGCAACACTGAAGTTGTTAGGGTATTTTGCAAGTGAAAGGGAAGAATCAAACAAACGACGGTTCAAGTCTCAACTTATAGCAAGATGATTTTGAGTGAAATATAGAGGGTTTGAGCAGACATCAACCCAAGTTGCTCATCATTTCCACACGACAACAATCAAGGGGAAAGAAACGTTAACCGTCAGAGAAAACGTGGGTAACAGCGTTGTCAGTATGTCAGCATTTAATACGCAAAAAGAATGTCGACTCAGTATGCTTGCATTAAATGCATGATTAGACATCTATTGGAAAGATAAAACCCCACTCTCATGTGAACTGAATTGTCAATAAGCAAATCATGCTGTCAAAGCACTTAGCCCTTAGTCAACATTTTGGCACTTGTGTTCGCCATGCAGGACGTTGCGTCATCACGCTCACGACATGAGATATCAATATTTGCTCGCATCATAAGCTTACAATTTGTGATCACGACCTATAATACAACGACCATCCAAGCAGAAGACACAAGTTTTTGAAGTCCAATTACGAACTACAAACACTGAGGGGAAAATGTTGTGCTGTCTATCCCCAAAGCGCAGATTCATGCCACTTGTTATTCCATTTTAGGTTAACTTTATTTACAAGTTTGCAATTGTAACAGTATATAAGCTGACTTTCCAACCAAATTAGGGATCCCCTTTTGACGTCACATTCATATCTTACGAAAGCCACAATTGTACACAGGAAAACAAAGAAAGCAATATAAAAACAGTGGACGTAGGATTTACACCAAACATCCAAACCACTTTAAAAATCCTTTGTTGTTGCTTTTCATTCATTCATTAATCTTGTATCAAATAGAGAGTTTCATACAATCTCTTGTGTAGGCTTCATCATGGATCCTATGTACTTCTTGTTGGTGCTAATCACAACATCAACAACATATTTGCTCCTTATAATCTTGTGATTTTGGTCATCCCATAAACGATAACCAAACTTGACGTCACCATAACCCATGAAAAACATTTGTTAAATTTAGTAGCAACCTTAGTTCTAAAAGTAGATCCTATGTGAACATAGGCTAAACAACCAAACACTTTTAAGAAAGAATAATTTACCTCTTTGTTGCTTTAAGCTTCTTTTGGGATCTTATAATTCAGCAATACAAAGGGTTCTCAATTGAGCAAGTAGGTTATGGTATTAATTGCATCAGTCTAAAATGTTTGTGGTAGTCTAGCATGCAATCTTATGCTTCTTACACACTCATTTAGGGTTTTGTTCATCATTTCGACGACATAATTCATGTTGAGGAGTTGCAAGATGGACTTCTCTATCTTGATCCCATTATTGGCAAAATA